CGAGCGCAGTGTTGCCACGCCCGATGTCATGAAGAAGTACTTCATTGGTAATGTGAATCGATCAGCTTGCTTTGCTTTGATCTTTTTTAGCTCCGTGTGCCCTTCGGAAAAAGTCTGCAACTTTTGAGCTCATTGAGCTTGAAAGGTTGATATTTGTTGGTGTTGATCGAGCTAGCTAAGGAATGAACACAACATGTGGTATAAAGTCATTACGAGAACTCGATCTACTAGGCTGAAACAATCAGGCAATCACTGTTTGAGAAAAGAAACAGGGACTGGTTATGTGGAAAAGTGTGGACTAGGACTTGATGTTTTTGTACGGTGATTGATTGAATCTGTCTTGCCGCAATGGGAGAGGATTATGGGTATGTAATATTTTGTGGTTTTGATGTATTTGCAGGGAGTGTGTTGAGTGGTGGAGGGAGTGTGCCGGCGCCAAAGGCCTCGCCAGAGACCTGGGTGAATGCGGTGAACGAGATCCAAAAGGGTTCTCTTTCCACCCGACTTGGGATCCCGATGATTTACGGGATCGACGCGGTTCACGGTCACAACAATGTCTACAATGCCACCATTTTCCCGCACAATGTCGGCCTCGGTGTCACCAGGCAAGATTCTCTTGACTAGTCTTAATTCGGATAAAAAGAGTGTTAATGTAATTTTTCATTCGGATTTGAACTTCTCATGTGTGATCGAGAAGCTTCATTAGTTTAGAGTGAAAAAGAATCTCATTCTTGATCCTGTCATATTGTTTTCCAGAGACCCTGTGCTACTCAAGAAGATTGGGGATGCTACGGCACTTGAAGTTAGAGCAACCGGTATTCCTTATGCTTTCGCGCCGTGCATTGCGGTAAAGTCGACAACCTTTCGAATACGAGAGAGATTCTTCTGAAGAAAAGTCTTCATTGAGGTCAAGCTGAAAGTTCTGTCGGATGCGTGACCGCTTAATCTTTTTCGCAGGTATGCCGAGATCCGAGATGGGGCCGGTGCTATGAAAGCTACAGCGAGGATCACCGGATTGTCCAGATGATGACCGAGATCATACCCGGTTTACAAGGAGACCTTCCTGCCAATTCCCCAAAGGGTGTTCCATTTGTCGCCGGAAAGTAAGAGCCTTCACGGTTAACTGATGACACTTACTTTTCCCATTCTGTTTCATTTACTTTTTGCTAGGTTGTCATGAGCTTATCCATGATATGAATTCATATCATTTTGTTGGTGCTGTTCACGTTTGTCTTATGCATATCCATGATATGAATCCACATCATTTTGTTAGTGCTGGTTCACGTTTGTCTTAGCATACATGATTGGCTCATTGATTGATGTTGACCGGATACATGTAGTATTTCAAGCCTTCGTGCGATGTCCATAACTCATCCGCAGACCAAATTGGTGACGAATATAAGCCCCATTGACATGACGACTCTTGTTTATCCCATGCGCGCACTTGCTTGCTCTTGTGAGTTAATCATGCCGTTGCGGTCGATAATTTGGCACTCCAGAAAAAGGCTTAATAGAGATCAGGTCGTGTAATTTATTATGTTTAGTGTTAAATAATCATGTTTAAAGCCTGCTTTTAGTGCTGATGCTCAGATCAGGATAAATTTTTTCATGGTCATACGTGGGAAGCACTTCAGGGTGGACCATGTTGTTCTCTAGATACAGAGCACAGCACGTTGAGTACATGAAAGTAAACAGCTATGAATTCCATCTTTATCCTGGTCAAGAGTGCTATGATTTCATGGGTTGACTTGTTGATCTCCGATCTTGACTGTCCTAAAAGTTTCTCATCGTCATTTTCGTGGTTCTGTGCTTATTAGTATGTTTATTTTTGCTCAGGAACAAGGTCGCGGCCTGTGCCAAGCACTTTGTGGGAGACGGGGGAACGACAAACGGCATAAATGAGAACAACACTGTCATTGATTACAATGGTTTGCTCAGTATTCACATGCCTGCGTACTTGGATGCCATTAAGAAGGGTGTCGCCACGGTCATGGTGTCGTATTCGAGTTGGAATGGCAAGAAGATGCACGCAAACCGTGATCTTGTCACTGGGTTCCTGAAAAACAAGCTAAAATTCAAGGTAAGGGAACGAAAAGTAGCCAGAGAATCGGATGTAATAAGTTTCTACTCATGGTGTATTTTGTTATTTGCTAATGAACAAACAGAGCTGAGAATATGAATTTTTCAGGGTTTCGTCATATCAGATTGGGAGGGCATTGACAGGATAACATCTCCTCCTCATGCTAACTACTCGTACTCTGTTCAAGCTGGAGTTGGTGCAGGAATCGATATGGTGAGTTCAACAAGGAATGTCTCTCAGACTATGGATTTTGATTATATTCTTGATTGGTTTGGCTCGAGAAGATAAAATATGTATCCGATCTTCACTGCTTTTTTTCTCGCAGGTCATGGTGCCCTACAACTTCGCTGAGTTCCTCGATGACCTGACTTATCAGGTGAAGAACAATGTAATCCCGATGAGTCGGATTGACGATGCCGTGAGGAGGATCTTGAGGGTTAAATTTGTCATGGGACTTTTTGATAACCCGCTGGCCGATAACAGCTTGGCCAACCAAGTAGGGAGCCCGGTATGTGGTTACGGATCAATCAGCTTAAATGAGCAACACGATCGATCATTCTAATTCCTAGAAAAAGTCTCTCTGGCTAAAATTAAAATCACAATGTCGAACAGGAACACAGAGAATTGGCAAGGGAAGCTGTGAGGAAATCACTGGTGCTTCTAAAGAACGGTAAATCTATGAGCAAGCCATTGATTCCGCTTCCTAAGAAAGCGCAGAAGATACTTATTGTGGGAAGTCATGCCGACAACTTGGGCTATCAATGTGGAGGTTGGACAATTGCATGGCAAGGCCTTAATGGCAACGAGCTCACAGTCGGTATGGTCTGAGCATTTCACGTTTGTCAACTTGAATGAAAAATATTTCGATAAAACTGATGGCAATTTGTCTACTTGTTGCCAGGTACCACAATCCTCAATGCAGTGAAGAGCACAGTCCATCCGGATACCCAAGTGGTCTACAACGAGAACCCCGATGCAAACTTTGTGAAGTCCAACAACTTTGCATATGCCATTGTCATCGTAGGCGAGCCATCTTATGCGGAGACATTTGGCGACAGCTTGAACTTGACCATCTCTGAGCCGGGGCCAAGCACTATCAGCAACGTGTGTGGGTCAGTCAAGTGCGTGGTGGTTGTCATCTCAGGCCGCCCCGTCGTCATTGAGCCCTATGTCTCAAAGATAGATGCCCTGGTGGCTGCTTGGCTTCCAGGGACTGAAGGCCAGGGAGTCGCTGATCTCCTGTTTGGCGACTACGGTTTCACCGGCAAGCTTGCAAGGACATGGTTCAGGAGTGTCGATCAGCTTCCGATGAACATCGGGGACCCGCATTACAACCCGCTCTATCCGTTGGGGTTTGGCCTGACGACGAAAGGCACCAAGGAGAGCAATCCTACATATTCTTGAACCGCTTTATCCGTTTGGGTTTGGCCTGACGACGAAAGGCACCAAGGAGAGCAATCCTACATATTCTTGAAAAGATTGATGTATTTGTATAATTTATCTTCTTATCATCAGGGAGGAGATTGAAATTGTATCTTAATTATTTTTCGATGATATCTTTGATTATTCAATGGTGAGATCAAAATGGGTGTTCAATGTAAACCTTTCTTGAATTGTTTGCAGCAATCGTGACGGTATTCTTGGATCTCTGCAACTACATTTACAGTTGATTTAAGTCAATCGAGCAAAAAACAGAGCAACTACTCTCGTGACTTGCTAAATCTGTTAGGTTACGTGACAAGATTCACGTAAGTGTACATCGAAACGGCAACGTATTCGGTGCGTATGATCTCAAGCTTTAACCTATCCCGTTATTGCCCCAACGTGGAATGCTTCAATTTGTCCCCATACATATCATGGTAGGAAATCAGGTGTCGGGTAATTTTCTTTATCAACAGTTTTCCGACATTTACTAATTCTTTCATAAATCTTTTTTTTTTTCATAATTTTATTAACACGAACAAAACGGATGATCGAATTGTACCATCTTAATCTCTCCACTTTTCGCTAAGTTTGTTAAATCCAATTCGACCTATCTTTAATTTGTTGCCTTATACTAGGAAAGGTATTGAATCAGAACAACTGGTGAAAGAAATCTGAGACATTAATTTACAGTTATTCAAGTCTTAAACAAGGTGCTTATCTTTATCCATCCAAGAGCATAGATGGATATGAAATCTGCTGTTTCCTAATCACAGCGCTCGAGATCATCAGCCAACTACATATCCAGATTAGGATTGCTGCCGGAAGACGTTATCCCATCCCTATCTCCGTGTCGCTGCGTATGTGCGTGTGGCTACATTTATATATATAGCAGAGGGAGAGCATTCCACAGTCAAAACAATTCAGACTTTTGGTGACGAGTTTCGCTGTCCGTCGCTGAAAGTTTGTCGCCTGTTGTCGCTTCCCTTAGTGGGGAGAGCTTGAAGCTGAAGAAGCATTGAAGGTAAATTACGAAGAGATCTGTTTTGGTTCGTTCCATTGCCTTTGCTTATGTTGAGGATTTGTTTTTGCGAGGAAGATTTAATAGTTGTTCGTGGGTTTTGTGGTAAAGTAGATTTAATGAGTAATTCATTCTTTGTGCTGGATTGTGACAATTGACTTTTTTGAATTATTTAGATCGGCGAAATCGGGATATTTTCTATCGCACTAGTAAACTTGGTTACTTTACTAATCCATCGAAATTGTTGAATTCTTTTTGGCCAATCTGTAAAATTTGCAATCGAATGCATAATGTCAATGATTTGACATCTTCTTTTGCAGGACTAGACGCTCGACTATTTTGAAGTACTTAGATCTCTCTAATTGATAAATTTACTATTATGTATATGATTTTTGCTTTGAGGATTACTTCATGTCTTCTTTCGTGATCACGATAATCTTTGAGTATTCACTCTTTCATGTGGATGATCATCATCTTCATCTTGCAGGATCATTGACATTAGCGAAACAAAGATGGCAAAGCTTTCATTCCTTTCAATGGGGATGATCCTCTTCCTGTGTTGCTGCTCGGCCACTGCTGGAACGGCGTCAGCTGATCAAGGCTACTCGAAGTACAAGGACCCTCGTCAATCCGTCAACACGCGGATAAAAGACCTCATGCAAAGAATGACCCTTCAGGAAAAGATTGGCCAGATGACGCAGGTCGACTACTCGGTGGTCACCCCCGGCACCCTGAGAAACTACTCCCTTGGCAGCTTGCTCAGCGGCGGAGGAAGCACGCCGATCCCCAAAGCGAAGGCTCGAGACTGGATGGACATGGTGAATAGATACCAAAACGAATCTCTCTCTAGTCGCCTCGGAATCCCGATTATCTACGGCATCGACGCGATCCACGGGCACAACAACGTGTATCAAGCCACTATATTCCCGCATAATGTTGGCCTCGGGGCTACGCGGTAAGCCTATTTGAGCATTCTATGCATACATTAATCAACATCTGTTGACATATGTTCTTTCTGCTCTACGTAACAGCCCATTATATTGAGCAGAGACAGTTAATTGAGAAGTTAGTATAGCTAGATCAAGTATTACCGTCAAAATCACAACAAATCACATTATGTTACAAAATGATTTGGGTGTCAATTGCAATGTTATCAACGCAATTATCTTTGTTTGATCATGTATTTCGAGTAGATTCTATATGATATCACAACAATTTCCAGTATTTAGTTATATAACTTAAAGAAAAGTCAATGTTTATCATTTCAGGGATCTGGATCTCGTGAAGAGAATTGGGGCTGCGACCGCACTCGAAGTTAGGGCGACGGGGATTAATTATGTGTTTGCACCATGCATTGCGGTGTGTATTCATTTAAATATGATAATTTCAACAAACATTCGGTTTCTGAGTGTTCTTAACATATTTATGATTCTCTTTTTCTATCTCGAAACCGTGAATTAGGTATGCAGAGATCCGAGATGGGGCAGGTGCTATGAGAGCTACAGCGAGGATCCATCTGTTGTTCAAGCCATGACGTCGATCATCCCTGGATTGCAAGGCGAAATTCCTGCTGGCGGGCGAAAGGGAGTGCCTTATCTCGGCGGAAAGTAAGCTTTTGTTTTGATTAGACTAGTTTGAGTTGGTGGTTAGTTCCTATTTGGCTTTGTTCCACCAAGAAAAGGTTTATCAATCGCCCTCTTGGTATCACATTTTGTAGAAGGTGTCATATTAGCGAATACCCTAAAGTCTTGAGTGTCCATTTTGAAATGCTGGGTAGTGTCTCCAGCAACTCTCATACTATTTTTTTTTATTTGGTCGAACTCTCATGCTATTTGACTAAGTTAAATGTTGTCATTATCTCATACTTTGGACAGTGACAAGGTTTTGGCCTGTGCAAAGCACTATGTGGGAGATGGTGGCACCACAGGGGGCATCAATGAGAACAACACGGTGACTGATTGGCATCAACTGTTGAGCATTCACATGCCCGGTTATTACAAAGCCATAATCGAGGGCGTCTCAACAATCATGGTCTCGTATTCGAGCTGGAACGGAGTGAAGATGCATGCTAACCGCTTTCTCATCACGGACTTCCTCAAGAACACCTTGAAGTTCAAGGTACATTTATTAGTCTCTCCTCGGTCATGTCATTTGTGATTGATACAGATTGTTGATTGAATTGAATCAACCGGTTCTAAATTCTTGCAGGGCTTTGTAATAACCGATTGGCAAGGAATCGATAAGATCACCACCCCGATCGGCATAAATTACACATACTCTATTCAGATGGGAATCGAAGCCGGGATTGACATGGTCAGTGGCTATGGCTACTCACCTTTTCCTTTCATGCAAAAGTATTGGATTGCCAAATTAATCTTAATGGGCAAGAGCTTTTTTTTTCCCTTTCCACTCGTAGGTCATGGTTCCCTTCAATCATACGGTGTTCATCGATACCCTGACCCAATTGGTCAATGCCAATGTGATCCCCATGAGCCGGATTGACGATGCCGTCAAGAGGATCTTGAGGGTGAAGTTCACGATGGGCCTATTTGAGAACCCTCTGGGCGATCAGAGCTATATTTCCCAGCTTGGAAGCCAGGTTAGACAATGCAAGAGCACATTACTCGGACTATTTATGACATGTACGCAAGAATTGTTTTATTCCAATTCTGTGTCAATGTAGGAGCATAGAGATTTAGCAAGGGAAGCGGTCAGAAAATCACTGGTTCTGTTGAAGAACGGGCACAATGCGGATTCCCCAGTGTTGCCGCTTGCCAAGAACGCTTCTAAAATACTGGTGGCCGGGACTCATGCCAACAATCTGGGCTATCAGTGTGGTGGTTGGACCATCACTTGGCAGGGTGGAAGTGGCAACAACCTAACCAGTGGTACATTCTCTTTCCTTTCCTCTTTAGTACACTGCATACGAAACAATTGATGTCATGTGGAGGACTAGGTCGTAGCCACCGGGAGTTATATCGAATGTATAATGTCGCGGTAACGACGTGACGTTTTCACATTTACATGTTTAATCAAAGTAGGGAGTTTCTGATGTAGTACGTTATTCATGATTTTGTGCACTTGATAATAGGGACCCCTATCCTAGGCGCGATAAGTAAGGCAGTAGACCTCGACACAGAGGTTGTCTTCAGCGAGAACCCCAATGCTGACTTCGTCAAGGCACACAACTTCTCATACGCCATTGTCGCGGTCGGGGAGCTTCCCTACGCGGAGACGGCAGGAGACAGCACAAACCTGACGGTGGTGGAGCCAGGCGAGGATATCATCTCCAACGTGTGCTCGTCGGTGAAGTGCGTGGTGATCGTGGTTTCAGGAAGGCCGGTCAAGATAGAGCCGCTCGTAGCGCATATTGACGCACTGGTGGCCGCGTGGCTGCCGGGGAGCGAGGGGGATGGGGTGGCCGACGTCTTGTTCGGGGACTACGGATTCACTGGGAAGTTGCCGATGACATGGTTCAAGACCGTGGATCAGCTTCCCATGAACGTGGGTGACCCTCACTACGATCCACTCTTCCCATTTGGTTTCGGTCTCACCACCGAGCCCCACAGGCGGACAGTGAGGGAGAAATTGAAGAGTGCAACTTCGTTATTCTAAATTTTAAGTTTTATCTTATCTCATGAACATTCAGTAGGAGATTCTGGTGGGTATTTCTTTTGCCAACCCATAATCATTTTGGATCGTGGTTCAAAATTAGGACATGGTACAATTTGAATAATCTTCACCAGGGTACTCCAAGCATTATTCTGGTTGTTTTCCATTTTGCATGATTGAACTTAATAGTGATTTTCTTATTTTTCATATGATTTTGTTGCGTATATTTCTCTTTGGAACCTTACGTTTCACCTACAAAATCCCAAAATGCGAGGGTAGAGCATGCTTCTTGTCGTGTGGCATAACATTAACAGAGTTGCATAACAGTAATGATGCTGCATGGTTTTTGGAAATAGACCGTTTCCACATGGCTAATACTATTTTCTTGCCAGAATGTGGTGGTGTTCTTACGTAATGTAACTATTCAAGTAAACAGAATTTTGCTCAAGAACTCATGAAATCTTAGGTGTTTTATGCACTGTGTTGAGATTAGAATATTTAAGAAAAGTTCATTTGCACGACCCTGGAAATTACCTCTTTTTCAAGTCAAAAGCGCAAACTTGTAACGAGTATCAAAAGAAATAATAAAATTATAAACGAGAATCCCGAAGCTAAAGCTGAAATTTCTAAATTGATATAAGAATTATCTCATCTAAGTTTTTGTTTATATCGGGTTGTATGTAATAGTATCACGACACGTAAATACGCATCTAATTTTTCATGAATTTTTTTGAATTCGGATAATGTTTTAATCTTGGCAGCCTTTTGCTTTTCACTTAATCCTAAACAAACAAGTCCTTACTAAATATGCATAGTTATTTAACCCTGCTAGGGCTTGGTTTTGGAGCAATTTTTGGAACTTACACAACAGCTTACTCTTATAAAAATTTACGAACCCCAAAAATTTTTATTATGATTTGATTTTTTTTCAGCATCAATCAGCATTTTCAAACCTAGCCTCTCGTTATTGTTAGGTCTTAGGTTTTTATGATCGTTGGTCATAAATACTATCAACTTTATCTTTTGCCACTCCGTAGGTTGTATCTACAAATTTAACTGAATGGTAGTGTTCGCAAATTTGAGGCGGCTTGTTGTATAATTCATGTGAGATAATTTATCTATTAAAAAAATACTATCGTCGGTCGTAAATACTCGACTACTTCACTGAGCCAGGTTTAGGATGTTATATCAAATATTACTGTCGTGTTTGGAAAGTAATAGAAACTTAACAATACAAGTTTGGGACAAGGCCAGTCGTTCCAAATGCGTCCCACTTCCATCCCCATCGTCTTTGTAAATTTCAAAAGCACAAACCATACTTGCCTCAATTTCATAAAAGATAGACCAATGAGAAAGAATTAAAAAAGATTATGCATAAGCTTCCAAACCTCAGCCAGAGTACTTTTGTATAACATTATTAAACCTCAGCCAGAGTACTTTTGTATAATATTTAATAATGTTATGATGAGTTTATAGTCCTTAGTACTATAGCTGAATATGTAATATATATATTTGGCGAAGAATATGTAACAGTTGGCGGTGTTGAAAAGTAAAAGAGAAGCCGAGAGATAAAAGAAAAGAAAGGCCAAGTCGTGCGTAACCAGAAAGGAGAAGAAGAAAGAAGAGAAGGAAAAAGATAAAAGAAAATTTGTTTCGGACACCCGACAAGCCAGATTAACTACCTCTTGCAAAGTCTGATAAGTATTCGAGCGTGTAGTTCATATAATCGGAGTAGTTTACAGAGTTATGCTTATATTCAAAGTTATGTGAATTTTTAACTATAAGGTTCGATTGAGGAGTTATAGAACCGTGGATATATATGTAAATGATAGTTTAGGACGTTGTGGAGTTGTGGGGTTTGACATAAATCGATTCCAAAGTGCAGTTTGATCAGAGTGAATTTTTGAAGTTTCACGCTCAAGCTCCGCGTTGCGGATAACTTTGAATATCCGTTTCTGACAAGAGTTTTGTTAGTGCGTAAAAGTTGTTTCATTAACGAATAAGCTTAGTTTAGCCTATTCATAATTGAGGTAGTGTTATACTCGATTTTGACAAAATTTCTCACTTATTTGATAGGATTTTGAATTCGTCGGTTTGAAAGTAACCTTTGTGATTTTGTTTTAGGCCTTACTAGGTGAGCGATGCTATCTTTTCTATATATTTGTAAAAGCGATACAGATTCGATATATTATGAGTTATAAAAGAGCATGTTTGTTGCATAAAATTTGGATCGAATATTTACTACTTTTCGGTTATTTGTAGATTGTTTGAAAAACGTTTTATAAAAGGTGTTTCAAAATGTTATTGGTTTATGAAATGAATTACGAAATGGGATGAGAAAAGGTCCTGTAAAATAGATATTCCTTTTAATGAATGGAGTTGAGAAACATTATATTTTTTAGGTTTGCAAAACCTTTTATTGTGAAAAAATTACGAAAAGCTCTTGACTTTTAGTATAGTTTATGGAAATATTATATGTATTGATTTGTAAAATGCTATATGAAATGCATTCTATTGAATAAATTGAATTGTGAAAGGTGATTCGATTCAGTTTATGAAACCAATTTTTGAAATGAATTATGGTTTTGATTGTGGGTTTATTGGAGAATGAGGTTTATGCTCACGTTGCTATAATTAGAACCCATTAAGGGGGGGAGGGAGTGAGTATAAACACTATTGTCAGGATGTCCTTTTGTGCCGAACTATCGGTTGATATAGGTGGTAGATCTAGCCAAGGTAAAATTGATCGCATTTGTCACTAGTGTTAAGCATAATCATAGTTAAATATTGAGCATTATTGATCAATGGAATAAACAATTGACGTTTGACTTGACTAGATTATTTAATAATATGGATCATTGATGGTTGATGTTGGAAAGAAATCATTTACTTTTAAAATGTTATGTGATTTGGGATTGACGAGTTATGATATCGGTATATAAGTATATATAGTGGGTGCTCGATTTGTTTAGAAGAGATGTGCAATAGTCACTAAACTATGGTTTCTCACCCCTTTCATTCCAAATCTATTTCGGGTCCTTCGGCTAGCAGCAAATAGGACGAGCGATATCGACGAGGAATTTTGGTAGTGGAATTGTGGGTATGAGTTGAGATAGTCTTAATACATGTCTATAATGATATTTGTTAAGCTTAGTTGAGTTGGAAGTGTATATAAACTCTTGATAGATTATAGAAACTCTGATACTGTAACTAATCGGCTCGTTTATCAGGTATATATCTATACATATACACACACAAATGGACATATATTTGTTGATAGCAAGCCATCGTTTATATTTAAGTCCAAACATTTTGCATATGCCATTGTCGTCATAGGCGAGCCACCTTATGCGGAGACATTCCGTGCGCCCGGGCCAAGCATTATCAGCAATGTGTGTGGGTGAGTCAAGTGCGTGGTGGTCATCATCTCGGGCCGCCCCGTCGTCATCGAACCCTATGTCTTGAATATAGATGCCCTGGTGGCCGCTTGGCTACCAGTGGACGAAGGCCAAGTGTCATACCCCGAAATCTACCAGGATGGGGGATGACACGGCCGTCCTTCCACCTGAAGGACGCAGCCTCAATCACCCAAAAGTCGACATGACATCGCTCTCGCTCTATGGCTGCTAATCAAAGATCCTGAAAGATTGGGAAAAGAGGGGGTGAGCAATCACAGCTCAGTAAGTAGTGCGTATCTCTTCTAAGCAGATCAAGCAACCACTATTCATGCATAAAGCAATACCAAAAACTCATATTTTCAAACCCACAATATCATATACATATCATATCAAATATGAGTTATTTTTCTTTTTCACAAAACTCGATACAAACCAGAAAACATTCATTTGATACGCCATTACAATTCAATCATCAATGGTCAGGTCCATTGATTAATCTCGTCAAATCACATGTCAATGGTCCAATCTATTGACCAATCTCAATAACTCACATATCAATGGTCTATTCCATTGATTAATCTCATCATAAAAGGGCTCGTTTGGGGTAGAGGCGCAGCTGCACTGCCATCCTCAACCCGACCCGATATTATCCTTTTTTAACCGCAGCCACACTGCCATCGCTCTCAAGGATTTGCCCTGGCACAGCAGAAACACATCGATGGTCTATCCATCGATCAATCTATTGCTCAATATCAAATCATGATCATGTATCTCGCCCCGTGATAAGGCGACCAAGATTTCCCCCTTGACAAGGTCTCCACCTACTATAAGCCAGTGGCTCAGCCCACAAGGATATCCTAGACTAGTATGCGCATACCCACAAGCCCCTCAATGGGCTCACAGCGATATTGAGCATCAAATCATCATCCTCAACAATATCTTCCACAATGCCAAATCCAGAAATCATTTCATAACCCATATCATAAATCACAATATAGTTCCAAAACCATTTCATAATCCAATTTATAATCAATCTTAGAAAATGGTTTCACAAACCAAAACGTATAATATTTCTCAACTTCGTTTGTCAAACTGAAAACATTTCACAAGACATATCTCACATCATTTCAGACTTCTTCATAAATCGATATGCACATAACGTTGTTCATAAAACTTTTCTCAATTCATTTATAACTCATTCCATAAACTAGTTCGCAACATATTTCTTAAAAGCATTCTTAAATTCCTCAAATCGTTCTCAACTATCAAAAAGGAGCAATGGCCCGATCCAGAATTTTATGCAACAAACATGCTTTAGTAATTCGTACGATACTCAAATTCTTATCATTTTCAAAACATGATTTTATAAACTCAAAGAAGAGATAGCACTACTCACCTGGAATGCCCCAAAACCAAATAACGTCGCTAAACGCCCCGATAATCTCGTAATCCCATCAATTGAACGAGAATCGACATCAAAATCAAGTAAAATACTAAGATAATTACTAAACGGCTAAACGACGCTTAAACGCTGACAAGATAACTCAAAGGCGCCGACAAATTGCTTATCCAAAGCGATTATCCAAACCGTCCTTAATGCGGAGCTTGAGCGCGAAACTTGATTGCACCATAACTTTCTCCACCGAACCCCGTTTCAAGCAAGCTTATAGTAAAAAAAATGCCCGTTCTGAGTATTACAAAAGCCCCAACTTGGCCGTCCCAAAATTGAGCCGAAAACCGATGAAAATCGGCCTAAAGCCCACTAGTCGCGCACTGTTCACCTTGTGCGGCCAACTTCAAAAATTCATA